GACATACGTAAGACAGCAAAACACGAACTGAAGGCAGCGTAGACAAGGAACACAGACAACAGGTGGGTTTAAATACACGCGGGGTAATTAAGGGAATAACACACACCTGGGAAACAATCAACGGGGAAGACAGACTCACAGGGAACAGGACTGAACACAGAAAAACTCAAAAATAAACACACAGAAACACAGATCGTGACAGATTTAGTGATATGTCAATTTATTTTGACCTTGTATCACAGCTTTTTCATGTTCTTTGAGTATGAAATGCTGAAAAATGTACTGAAATAATGACAAAGGCTAATAAAAAATAAATTCAATTAAAATGAATAAAAATGTAAAATTGTCTGGTTTTGGAAGTAGAATAATTGTTGCGGTTTCCAATGAGTCTGGTAATTTTGTATTTTCCAAAGCTTCTTTAATCATGTTTGTGAGAGGAGTCGGCAATTGTTTTGGAAAGGTTTTATATTATTCGACAGGAAATCCGTCTGGCCCAGGAGTCTTGTTGTTTTGTAAAGAATTCAAAGCTTGAAATATTTCCGCTTCTGATATCTGCCTCAAGGGATTCTCTGCCATGTTCTTGAAACTTGGGAAGTGTTATTCCTCCAATAAATCCTTCTACCGCATTATCCATATTATCTTGCTCTGATCTATATAATTTTTCATAAAATTGTTTGAATTCTGCATTAATTGAAGATCCCTTTACACACACTAATCAGCCAATTAACTCAAAACACCTGCAAATGCTTTTAAATTGTTTCTCAGTGGTTAAATTGTCAGTGCAGTTCTGTAGGCTAAACAACCATAGGGATGACTGCTGACTTCACACTTGTCCAAAAGATGACCTTTGACACCTTATACAACAGGGCAAAAGAGCCTGGCTGTGCACAGCGGTAAGGTTATTTTATTTATGTAGCATCTTCAGCAACAAGGCAGTTCAAAGTGCTTTACATGAATTAGAAGGAAATACAAACAAAACAAAAAACCAAACAAAATAAAAGCATAAAACTGCATATTGGTTCCCCATGCTTAATAAGAATAAGGAGTCCATAATTTATAAACTAGTAGTGGTTTCTCTGGAAAACTAGATGTTGGTTTTCC